ACGGAGGGCTCCCGGAGAAGGGCCTCTCCCGCCGATCTCAGGGGGCGGCTGGGCAAATATGGATGTAAGCGCTTAATTATTGTGAATGGCCCAGAGAGCTTCAGGTGTTGAGTGGTATGAAAAGACAATAAATAAATAGACAAACGATCACCATAGGAGGGAGAAACCGCAGCTTGGGGGAAGAATATACACTTTCCATGCAAAAGGTCTCAGGTTTGCTCTCTGGCTGAAAGGAACCTGGATTTCAGGGCTGAGAAAACCCTTCATAAGCCGCTATCTTTTGTAAAATGCGAGGTTGGGCTGGGCCATCTGACTCACCGTGACAAAACCTTAGACCTGTGGCCCACCTGGGCCTCATCCATCCCTCAGAGGCTCCCGAATGGCTATACTCCCGTTCCCTAGCTCCAGTCCCTTTCCCCCCTCTGCCATTGTTGTTTTCTCCACCTAGGGGCACCTCCTCCCATTGAGAAAGGTTGCAATGCATCTTCCATGGCTTAGTTGCTGCAAGTAAGACCTTGAAGCGAAAATGGGGAGGGGGTATATTTCATCATTAAGTCCCCAGTGCTTTTGCCCTGGCCTCTCTTTTGCCCTCAGCCCCTTCACCACTAGAGTCCAGCACACAGAAAGTCTCTGAAATCAGACCCAGCCCTTGTGCTGAAAAAGATTCAACCAAGCTGCTCTCTAAAGATGGGCCTTAGCAAGGTGGGGGCACCCACACAGAGGGCCCTAGGGCCAGGAAAAAATCAACAGCATCCGTCAGGCTTCGGAGCAATTTCGTTCAGAATCAGGGGAAAGAAACACAGTGGTTTCCTTCTGTTTTTGTTCTAGTGCTGGTTCAGTTCCACTCCGGTTTAATTCCACTAGGAAATCCCAGTTCTTAAATGGGACTGGCAGAATTCCGTGTGTGTAGCATTTCCTGGAAATCAGAAGGTATCACTTAACATATCGGAAAAATAGACGGTGTTAAAATCCAAGCCCAGTTACTGACCGTTGGCCGTGCCAGCTAGGACAGATGGGTGGCAGAATTCGACCATGTCTGAAGGGTTGTAGGTTCTCCATCCATCAACAAAACCCCAAGACCAGTTCTTATTCTCAAAACTATTTCCTAGCTACATGACATTAAGAGGGAAACTTCTTTTAGGAATAGA